GGGGCGCGGGGCGCAGAGCAGAGGTAGGAGGAGGAGGACGGGCGGGCGGGCGAACATGTTGGCGGCCGGACCGGGGCTCTCATGACCTCCGCGACGGCGACTAACGAGAGGTCCGAGGCCTGCGGAGGGAAGGGGAGGAGGAGGGGCAGCAGGAAGGGAAGGCATCCAGGCGGGCGGGCCAGGGCAGCGGGCACGAAACGAAGTGAGTAGAGGTTGGGAAAAAATGAAGCGGAATCGAAATGAAATAAATAACGCCATGTTGAGGTTATGGACAGACAGGGGGCCGGCCGCGGGCGGGCGGGCCGCATCCCCTGCCCGCATGGGGCCGCGCGGGGCCGGCGGGGTGCGCGGCGGGGTGGTCGCCCCGGCTCGCCATGATTAGGCCTATTGACCCAAGTATTCCACCGACTGATTCGTTTAGTGCGGAGCCGCGAGCCGCGGCGCACCCCTTACCCTTTACCCCCTCCCCGCCACGACAACCCTCTCCGCGCCGGGCCGCCTCCCCACCCCCAGTGTGTGTCGGCATCGCTATTCTCTGTGTCCTCATCTGAAAGTGGTACCGCGCTGGCGTGGCTTAGTGTAGCGTAGCGTAGCTGGGGCCCGCCGTGCACTCAGCACTCGCGGGGCTGTGAATTCAGCACTCCAGGATTCAGTCTGGTGCAAGCAGATCAGAGATTGCCCTTTTCACAATTTTTAAAAAATATCCCGCAACAATAAAAACAATTCAAAAGAATGGATGGAGATCAGTTCCAGCTCAGAATTTAATAACAAGACTAAGGAGCGTAGCGGTGCTCGTATATAGTAGGCTACACTTCTCGGTGTTAACTTTAAGCAGACGAGCGGACGCGTAACGAAATAAATCACCCCTCCCTTTCTTTATAATGGCAATTACTTTTTTTGGCGGGTTTCTAATTGGGGGATGAGATGAAACTAGGGTGGGAAAAATATGAGGACGATACGTCAGGGGGAAAGAGAGAAAAGGGGGGGAGGGGAAGGGGGATGCGCGAGCGAGAGCGCGCGCGGGTCTGCAGGTCCGGCCTGGCGCGCCTGATAGTGACGCCTCCGCGTGACGCATCACCGCGCGACACATCGCGAGGGATTATCATAATTACTGCATAATTCGATTAATACGTGAGCAGCGTGAGATTGTGCGGGGTGACAAGGGAGAGCGAGAGAGAGAGAGAGAGAGCGAGCAGAGATGATACTGCCAGAAGGGGGTCGAGGGCGGTGCTCGGGG